TATGTCAAACAATTTTTTATAACTTGTTTCATATCTCAATTTTTCACAATTTTTTTTTTATGAAAGTTGACTCCAAATTACTAAGATGTAAATCAATGTATGGATAAGCAATATATTTTTGTCAGGGAAAGTTCTTCTTAAAAAAAAAATTTAAGTTTTACAATAAAAACAATGCAACTTTTTTTTTATCTTTTAACATATTTACACACCATGAAAAAACAAATTAGACTATACACCAGCACATTAAAATAATTTTAGTGGTACATGTAGCATATTTCATATTCCTTTTGTTGGTTATGTAAAAAAAAAAAATGCTGTTATATGCAATTAAGCTCTAGGACTGGACTTAAATTAAGCCAAGCTTGTGGTTTATATGCTTATAAAATTCATTTTGGAACTTATGGACATATGCTAGCTAGTTATATTTTGAGTTTAAGAACATTCTTTATAAGCAGTGAAATGATTTCTAGACTTAATAGTTAAACACTTGTTAACCCATGAATAGAAATCTATTATAACAAAAATTTTCAGCTTAAATCCACAATAGTGCCTAGAAACTACGTGTTCAGGTTGTTACATATAATCAATTATACATCTTGAAAAGTGCATTTAGGTAACAAACCCTTAAAAGAAATGGTTCTAGAATATATAATTGATTACATTGCTTTGGTAACCAATTATATCCTTTGTAACCACTTACATTGTTTTTATAATTAACTACATCCAATGTAACTACTTACACTCATATAATCAATTATATATAACCACTTACTTTTTATTCTTTTTTATTCTTTCAAGAAGCTCTTTCTCACAGATCAAGCTATCTCTTTTTAACTATTGACTTCTCCCTTTTTCTATTTTCCTGATTATCCAAACATGATCTAAAGAAGATGGTGCGTTTGGTGATATTAGTGATTAGCAAAAAGGGCTGAATTGCACCACTTTAGGCGCACAAGGGTCTATTTGAGACCCAAAAAAGTAAAAGGGGCCAAAGTGAAAAACATTGCAAGTTGAGGGGTCAATTTGCAACATTTGCCCTTTATATTCAGATAGAAGCATATGTCTGCATAGAGAAGGCTTTTCAAAGATGCATATATTTGATTGGATCATTCCAAAAATCAACTAAATGTATCAGTACTAATAGAATGACACAAACATAGAAGTTATATAAAATCCATCAAAGCGCACAAGAAACGTGATTTTATTCACGTAGTTCAAGATTAATAAATGATTTTGCTCTTGTTAGGATGGAATTATTTTGTTATGATCTTAACTTGTTGGTAAGATCAGCTCTAAAGGTGCTCATATAAGGTCAAATGAGGCCCATAATATGTATGCTTTATGGGTACATTTGCTTCATCACTTTTTTTGGAATAAAAAAATATCAAAGGCAAGCAATTTTTCTTGATTTGGCATGAAAATCCTAACACAAAAATTCAAGATGAGATATGATGGGTTACAATTAATTATAATAGGCTACAACAACCAAAAATGGATCGTAAGGAAATTTTCTTAAGTATTTTGCCCAGAAACCATATTCTAGGAAACTTGGTGTTATAATTTGTTATAATGAATTATAACCCATTATATCTCCTATTGAATTTTGTGCCAAGATTTTTAAGCCAAACCAAGAAAAAGTGTTTAGCTTTCCTGAATATTTTTGTCTTGGACAGGTGACGAACCAAATGCACTTGTGGTTGTATGCCAACTTCAACTCAAAAAACCCAACATATCATTAGGTTTTTTTTATTTCCACATATCAATTGTTATGGGATTCAATGTTTGTGCATGTGTGAATCCCTAACCATTCCCATTCTGCTCTTGCCACATTAATTAATCTCTATCAGCTACCTAAAGAAAAAGAATAATGCATGGTCACTTGGAATAGAAGTGATCCAGGGAAAAGAACCTCTGTGCCATGTGCTACACACTTGATTGAACAACATACATAACGTCAATTATGAAGAAAAAGTTGATAAAACCCAGGTTACTACTCTCGTTTGTTGATACAGGACTACGCTCGTGGAGTGGACCTTATTATTAACATTGTCTTGTCAATATAGGCAATAACAAATTAGGACACACACATCTATATATACACATGAACTTACATTGAAAGTAAATAATCTCACACCTTGCCTTAGTTGTTTAGTGGTGAAAATTTTTAGTTAAGATTAACTTCTATAAATTGTGTTTTCAAATCTCATGAGTCTCATTCCCTCATCTCTCAAGTTGCCTTGTTAAACAAAAAAGGCTAAATTTAATAAATAATTTATTAACTATGTGATTTACTTAAGTTTAGTCTAGAAATAATTTTTTTTTTCAAAATAATCTATAAACTATCAATTTTGTCTCAAAATGGTCTACTTGACAAATATTCTATCAACTAGACTAATGGAATGTTTGTCTAGACAAGTTGGTATAGACAAATTACCCTCTGAACTTTTGAAAAATGTTAAATATAGTACATATATTTTTATTTTTTATAACATTTTGTTTTTGAAGCTCAAATTTTTTGTCAAATGTAATAATTAACTAAGATGAAATTTCAATTTACATTAATTAAGATTCTAATTTTAATTTACAATAATCAATATTATAATTTAAATTTTATTATTTCAAAAAAATTTAATTTATTATTAAATATTAATATTTTTAATAAATAAATC